ACGGGACAGCAACGTTCTGTGTCCTCTCCTCTGTCTGTTCCCCCAGACCCAGATGGTTTTCCTGCCCTGTGGCCATGTCTGCTGCTGCCAGACCTGCTGCGAGCGGCTGCACACTTGCCCCCTGTGCCGCAAGGATATCACACAGCGCATCCGCATCTTCCACAGTGGCTAGGCAGGGCGGAGGAGCTGCCCGGTGCCACCTCTGTCACCCCCCTCCCGGGGCGATGTCCCCCCTCTACTCCATGTCAGTATTAAACAGACACTCGCACAGCACGACCAGCACTGCCCTCCGTGCACGGCCCTGGACTGGCTGCTGGCTGCACCCAGGAGTCTCAGCACCCTCCACATTCCCTGATGGCTTCTCGGCCTCTGCCTTGGGTTCCCTCTTCATCTGCATCCCCTCCTCCTGCCTCTCTGCCCAGTGTCCTCTTGCCTGGGAGCACTGGGTGATGGAACTGGGTGCACCTCTGGCCCCTCCACACAAATGTATTTGCCTTCAGAAATGCCCCTTGTGCAGCAGGGACACAGTGCCACCTCTGAAGCCCCTGGGACCTTACAGCTCCACTGCTGTGGCCGGGGCACCGCCGTGCTCCTGCATTGAGCACTGTTGCCTAGAGGTGAGTGAATCCCTTGTGAGAGGACTTGGCTGGGGTGTGTGGATGCTCTGGGGTGCTGACAGTGCCTTGCACCTATGTCCTGCCAAAGGTCTGGGGCTTCTGCTCTGGTGACCCACGGGAGTGTGTCAGGGGCAGTGGTGGGCTGCAGCCACAGGCTGGGGGTGCCACAGCAGGGCGAGGAGCTCCCCGACCCCTAATTCCTGTTGTAGGGGAGAGTCTGCAACATCCCCAGAGCCAGGACTCAAGGGACCTGCTCTGGCCAGAGGACCCCAGTGGGATCCCTCGTCCGAAAAACGCGTGTTGAGAGCAGAAAGTGTTGCTGCCACCTGACAGCCGGCACAAGTCCAGCAGTGAGCAGGAGGGGGGGTGGCTGGGGCCGGGGCTGTGCCTGACACAGCTCTGCATGGCCTCTGTGCGTTGGCATGTGTGTAGTTCCCCACTGTCCTGACCTTGAACTATAAAATAAAATAAGCTCGGTCCCACCGCAGCCCTTTCTTCAGAGGAGCTGTTAAAAAGCAGCTGGTTGCTGCTGCTGGTTGATTGCTGCCTTTTTCCTTCTGGAAGGGGGAGGACACTTGAAAGCTGGGGGCTGCAGCGCAGTGGCAGGGCCGCCATGTGCCCGGCTGTCCCAGCACCACCTCCTCCTCCCCCTCATCAACCTGGGAACAATTTGAGGATCTTGGACTTTTCTGAGGGTGTCCAAGCAAGAGCTGCAGGGCAGCCCTTCGGACTTCCAGGGAGGGACAGACCTCAGACTTTCTGCTTGGGGCCACCTCACGTGTGCTACGCCTGTGCAGAGCATCCCCGTGGGGCACGTGTGTGGCCTCGTGGAGGTGGCCAGTGCCCCATGCCGTGTGCCACCAGAAACCCCAGGTGATGTGCCACAGCAGCAGAGCCGGGTCGGGTCTGCATGGCCCTGGCTGAGCCCTTTGGGGACAGCCCTGGGGATGCTGCCCTGCTGCAGCCTCTGCCTTCATGTTGAGCTGCTGCTGCGCGCAGGAGCCGGCAGGTCCCAGCCAGGGACTTTGCTGGGTGCTCGAGTGGGGACCTGGCAAGGGGCAGGAACGCATGGGAGCAGCGGGTGATTGGGGTACAGCAAGGGGAGCCCTGCCAGGGGTGCCTGAATGAGGGCAGGGAGGCTCACCCCCTGTGCCCCCTCGCCCAGCTGGGGTGCAGGCAGCTGATGTGACCGGCATTGCCCAGGGTCAGGGAGGAGGAAGGGGTCGGATGCTGACCTGCCAGGGGATGAAGCTCAGCAAAGGTAGCAGGGAGGGTGGCAGGTTCCAGCCATCCTCTCCAGAGCCCCAGCCCCACCAGGAGCCTCCCCTTCACCCCATTCCCCCAGGACCCTGCTGGGATCCCAGCGTGTCCAGCTGGAGAGGGAGGAGAGACGTCCTGGTTCCGCCAGCTGCCCCAAGCCCTTCTCGGCAGCAGCCAATGCTGCAAACGTGCCCCTGCGCCGTGCTGGGGTGGGGGGTAATAAGTGACAGGAGCTCAGGGCAAGGTCCGCTGCCTGCCCGTAAATAAGTGCCAGCTTTTCCTGGAGCATCGGCAGTGCCGGGCTGCCCCTCGTCCCCAGGGCCACCACGTAGCTGCAGGGCTAAACCCGCTCAGCCATCTATGGGGAGCCCACAAGAGCTGGAGCATCACCTGGGTACTGTCACCTTGTCCCCACCGAGCGATGCCCTGTGTCACCCTAGGCTGTGCTCAGGTGTTTTCAGTAATTGGGGAGGGAATAAAAAAATAAATTACAAATAAATGAAGAAAAAGCATTCCCGCCCTTCATCCACATCCAACCTCAAGCCACGCAGGGGCTGTAGTGGTT